TATCTGCCCTGTGCAGTGTGTTTATTCCTACCCACTTTGATTATTTTTATTTTTAAATATATTTTATTGATTTTTTACAGAGGGGAGAGAGGAATAGAGAGCTAGAAACATCGATGAGAGAATCATCAATCGGCTGCCTCTTGCACACCTCCCACTGGAGATGTGTCCGCAACCAAGGTATGTGCCCTTGACCGAAATCGAACCCGGGACTTTTCAGTCCCCAGGCTGACACTCTATGCCCTGAGCCAAACCGGTTTTGGCTCCTACCCACTTTTAAATAAACAAGCCCTTCACAAACTAACAAACTCTAAAAGTACAGTAGGGCCATATGTTTCTATCATTTGATGATATTTGACCAGTCCTGTTTAGGACTTTCTATTCCCTTGTTGACTGGTGCCTGGGATCCTGCCCATGGTTCAGTATTTTCACATAATTTCTGACTTGCCAGTCTGATTCCTATCATTTCACAGTGTCTACCTTGTTTCTGGTGTCCTTTCAATTGTCTTCCATAGACCTTCTGAACTACAACTCAGTCACTGGCTGATAAAAACAATTGTCCCTAGAGGCCCCAGTTCATATATCATGCAGAAATTTGAATATCAAGTATAATCTGAATGATGAAGATTTTTTCTATTCCTCCCTTGGCTCAGTGATGTCTCTCTGGGAAGTAAGACCATCCTTTTATTGGAACCACCCCCCTTATCTCTGCCCAGGAGTTTCTGAATTCCAGACAGCTTAGATCCTGTCAACTATGATGATCCATTTAGCTTATTTCCTATCATGTGATTTAAACATTATGTTATACCCTGGCCAATTTGCTGATTATGCCATGTAGAAAGCTTGCCTTTTATTTCTAACTAAATTATAAGCTTCTTATGAAGAAAGATCCTGTCAGTACAGTTATTTATCAAAGCTTTAATGTGTTCTCTAGTCCTAGGCATGTAGTAGTGCTCATATATTCATTAATGATTATCTCCCTCAAACAACTTGTACACAGCATGATGCTAATGCAATAAAGACATCATTCTATCGTCTAATAAAATCTGGATACCCACCAATGGGAAAAGTACAATAGTTACTATTTATAAGACAAATCCATCTTAAACCTTCCTTTTCTTACCATGCTCCCTGTCTTTTTACTTTAAATTAGACTCTATATATCACTCAATCCTCAGTTTATAATTTTTTACTTCATTTCCAAATCTTCTTTTTCACTCCTGCTTCTTGACTTAAAGGACATTTCTGGTGGAGTATGCATGATTCTGAAGTAAGTTCCTGTGAACTGGCCAGAATATAGCCTGGTTGAATGTGGCCTTTCAGCTTGGGATCTTTTCCTTCTCCCATCCCTGGATGATTGCCTTGCACAACCAACATGCTCCCCCACTCCTTTTGTGCTGCTCACTCTTACCTTGGAGTATCACATGCTTATCTCCATGCCTCCCTAGAAAGATAAATACCTTACTTTCCCCACCTGATATATATAAATGAGGATAAAGATAAATAGATATGATATAAAATACATATCATATATGTAAATTAAGCAGTTATGCAAAATATTATGATGGGAAGTTTGAAAAGATTGTACAAATTGGAATTCATGCACTTAATTGGTAATGTTATACATAATAAAATGCCAAAAATATGCCAGCAGCAGGAAAGCTTCATTGTATTGCTCCTCCTATTTGTTAAAGGAGTGTGTGCATTATGGATTATAAATTACTAGATTAAAAATTCATGCATAGGTAGAATCCCTAGTCCTGGCTGGGGATCAGGGCCTATTGGGGCCTTCCTTCCCTGGGTTGCCAGCTGCTGGCTGGGACCTTCCTTCATTCCATGCAGCCCTCTGGTGGTCAGTGCACATCATAGCCAGTGGTCAAACTCCCAGTTGGTAGAACTCCCAAGGGGACAATTTGCATATTAGCCTTTTATTATAGGGTTATAGTGAGAAAATGGGAAGAATTGAGAGGAGATTGCATTATAATGTGGCATAGAGATCTCTACAAAATATTTATGAAAAGTTTGAATTTTATATGCAGTCCTTGAACATCAACTGGTTGAAGATATTTCCAGAGACTGAGGGTAGTCACAGAATAGTTGAGATAGCTTAAGCAAGGGCATTGATATTTTTATCTTCAAAAGCAAGGATACATTTTATATCTGGCAGTCATGCAAACAAAAGTGTAAATTCTATGAACTTTCCTAGGGAAATTCTTTGCCCTCGTCAAGAATGCCTTTTAATGTGATTGAAGAGTTCATGATACACAAGTGAACAGAATATATAGTATGGCAGATGCTATTAAGGTTAGGAGAAAACTAAAACAGGGTTAGGGATTGTCTGACAAGCCTGGGTGCTCTAATTCAAGTAAAAAGGTCCAGATGGATTTTACTGATGTTGTGATATTGGGCACTCAGAAAACGAGATGAAGAGAGCCATTAGGATATCTGGAGAGAGCATCCTCCAGGCACAGGAAAAGCAATGAAAGGGATATTTTTTAACCTTATCAGACAATACCAAGGATCCTTGTAATGTTGGGGGTCACAAATTTAAAGTGATGTCAGCTGGCATGGTTTCATGTTTTTTATTTGTTTTATTTTGGCTCTATGGCTCAGAGTAGCTGGGGGGACAAAATTTAACAAAGTTTAGCACTTTTTTCCAAGTATAATAAAGAGAAAGAGGATAAAGACACTTGAGAGTTATGTTAAACAAGGAAACAATCCTAAAAATGGAATCTCAAATAAGGAAAGAAGGAAATGAAGGCATGGAGAAGGAGTCAGGGACACTGGAAAGGTGACAGAATCAATCATAGATACTCATGAGGTCAAGTTATTAAATCTGATGTTTAGAGTATAAACTCTAAAGATGGGTAATAACCATCAAATAATGGGATTCTCAAAATGGAAGCTCTGGGAGTGGATCTGTTATGTTGGTAAGGTCCAAGGTATAACTATGCTGACAATAGAGGTAAAATGAAATTCAATATTCTTCAGAAGAGGGATTGCAAAACCCCAAAGACAGGGTTTTGGAGATCTGAAATTACAATGCAGGATGAAATCGAAGTGATGGAATGAAAATGAACCAGTAACTAAATTATCTTAGCAATAAAACAGAATGACCACCAAACCTGTATATGGAAGCAATAAGGAGAAAATTCCTTAATCTGATAGTATAAGATTAGGAAAGAGAGACAGAAAGACACCCACTCTTCTCTGTGACAGAGACTAGGTATTCTTTGACAGGACTGTTGGAGAATCAAGCTTTCTTTTGATTATCAGACCCAATGACCTTTTTTCATAATAGATATTCTCTACTGTTCCTTTAAATATTTCTATAAAGTCATAGATAATTTAACTTACATGCACCATAACTTTTTAAGAAATGAAAGTGAAGGAGAAAATAAAAGTCATTCTAAAGTAGAAAAGTCATTGAATTATTTCAATACATAAATGGTCATGCACATTGACCCTAGAAGTCACAATGTGGAGGTCATATGCACTGTATTGGTGACAGCTGCAAGTGAAGACAGATAGGGATGTGTTTTCTGAACAGCTTCAATACCAAAGGCAGTGTCACCATAAGTGAGTGATTTACTGAGATGGTGACATCTCTGGAAAAATTCTAAATAAAAAAGGAATGGCTACCCTTGATTTTCACTGGACAGAATCATGCATAGTATCACTGGGAAATACTATTTTGAGTTTATAACCTAGACTGGGTTATGTTCTAGCCTCAGGTACTACTAACCTGGATTTTCACCCACATGGATACAAGTGGCACACCAGAAAATAACATGGAATGCAGACCAGCTCTTGTGCATGATCATCCCCTGATGCTTTGTGCCACCCCTCAATGCCAGTCACTGAAAACCACACACATTTTTGATATGCATCCATGCTGTCCCTCCTGAGGACATGAAGATTAATATTCATTTCAGTTTGTAGAATAAGAGAGTAGCTGAAGAAAAATCTGAGACATAAATGAAACTTTGAATTGTGATCAAGTCAATTCTCAAAGTGATTAAAACATAGGACATTTTGAACAAAAGCCAAACTTGAATATACACATACACTTTGAAGAGTGAAAATTGTCCATAAAATTTTATGATTCAAACATTAGATGTGTCTCTCTTCCACCCACTGCCAGACTTAAAATACACTAGATTAAAGAAGAGGGAAGCAAAAAGTGCTCAAAGGATACTGCTTATTGCTAGCCCCTGCCCCCCCAAAAATCCTAAGAATTCATAAATTGCTTGGGGACTTCTATGAACTTCAGCTGGGTTTATCATCTAATGAATAATCCTTCTGTATTTTTACTTAATGTGTATGGACCACAAGGGCATATACATTTGTACACAGGCATGTTTACATTAAGATTCAAATAGAACAAGTAGCCCCTTTGTGATAAGAAAGCTTGAAGTGAGTGTTTGCATCCATATATCTAATAACCTGCTAATCAGTTGCAGCCTCTTGCTAATCCCCAGTATTTCCAGGGCTCTGGTCACATGGAGGGTGATGATGATCCTGATCATATTGGAAAGAAAAATCAAACTGTAGAGATACATACTGTAGTTCCAAATGCTATTTTTAACAACAAAAAAAGTTGAAATATGTTTTTAAAATATATTTTATTGATTTTTTACAAAAAGGAAGGGAGAGGAATAGAGAGTTAGAAACAATGAGAGAGAAATATTGATCAGCTGCCTCCTCATACCCCTACCACGGATGTGCCCACCACCAAGGTACATGCCCATGATCAGAATCGGACCTGGGACCCTTCAGTCCGCAGGCCGATGCTCTATCCACTGAGCCAAACCAGTTAGGGCTGAAATATCTTATTATTCAGAGGTGAAACAGAACAGCAGAACAAATCACTTCCTGTTTTATCAACCTTCATCACAAAATTTTCACCATCAAAGTGTTTTCAAGTTATAAAGTAAATACAGTTTAGCTCTGACTTTACACATATACTTTCTAGTATGTGCTTCTATATACAGTATTTGAAGAAGTAGGCTTACAGCTGTTCCTATGGGAAATAATACAATAATTAATAAATAATGCAAGAATAAACTGTTTTGCATATTTACAACTATAAACCTACTTTTGCCCCACCCTATATGCACATGTCTTTGGTGCTCAGAGATAAGCATAGTTCGTTTGTTTGTTTTTCCTTAAATATTTCAGAGCATTTTTTTCAGATATGTAGCTCTCTTTCTCATAGCTTTCTAAATAAATTGAATATAAAGAGACAAATCCTTTTTATTTTTTTTATTCATTTACACTTCAATCATTCATGTTATTTAATAGCTATTTGATATTCAAGAGCCTTTGGGCCTTTTCAAACATGCTTTGCAAATTTTTTTCCCCCTTTTCTTTTCTTCTTCTCCTCCTCCTCCTCCTCCTCCTCCTCCTCCTCCTCCTCCTCCTCCTTCTTCTTCTTCTTCTTCTTCTTCTTCTTCTTCTTCTTCTTCTTCTTCTTCTTCTTCTTCTTCTTCTTTTTTTTTTTTCCTTTGCTCCCCTAATATAAAAAGGAGAAGTGGAGAAGTAACATTAGTAGCATTTTGCCAAAGGCAAGCCAGAGTGAATGCCAGGGGAACAGAATGCCACTTTACTCTGAACTTGTGAATGTTGAGTTATATCTAAATTGGAGGAAAAGAAAACTCTTAGTAGCTTGCTGTGTAGGGGTACTTGGGGCAACTCTGTTTGGTACAGTCACATGTGCACTCTGTATAGTCTTAGAGAAGGAGAATTCAAATCTCATTCTAGAAAAACTCCCTGCACAGGTAGATGATTAGCTTATTTCTATCCTCTTTCTCTCCCTCCTCCTCCTCCCCCTCCTCTTCTTCCCCCTACTCCTCCTATTCCTCCCCTTAATTTTCCTCTTTCTTTTACTTTTCTTTCCTTTTATCTTGTGAAAAAAGTCATTAGGCCTAATTATTCTCTTAAGATCTATTTGTCTCATGTTGAGAAGAGGGGATATAGAGCAGCTTAAAAGAATCATGGACATTTAGTTTTTCAAGTGGTTCATATTTTTTTCTATTAACTTTTATGCTGATAATAATCCAGCCTCTAATTTATTTCAGATTTCTGAACCTCACTGCCTCTTAAGGGAGGTACATATATCCTTAAAAATTAGCAAAATTTATCCACTTCTCTATGAATATTAGATATTTCCCTCTTTAAGGGAAAGATTAAAAAATATATAAATTTAGTCCTGGCTGGTTTTGCTCAGTGGGTAGGACATCAACCTGCAGATTGAAGGATCCCGGGTTCCATTCTGGTCAAGAGCACATGACCAGCTTGCAAGCTTAATCCCCAGGGGGCCGTGCAGAGGAGGCAGCCAATTAATAATTCTTTCTCATCATTGATGTTTCTATCTCTCTCTCCCTCTCCCTTTCTCTCTAAAATCAATAAAATATACATTAATATATATATAAATTAAAAACAAGTATGAAAGTTAATATTTATTTTAAATGATACACAAATCACAATACTAGATAAATTTTTAAAACTATTGAAATCCAGAAAACTTGTATACTTATATTTATTATAATACTAGACACCCGGTGCACAAAATTCATGCATGTGAGGGGGTCCCTTAGACCAGTCTGCACCCTCTCCAATCTGGACCCCTTGGAGGATGTCGAAATGCTAGCAGTTGAACATCCCTCTCACAATCTAGGACCGCTGGCTCAAGAAATTAATAAGAACCTACATAGATGCAAAGGGGAGGGCCATGTTGGACAGGATACTGTGTGGGCAAAGGTGTGTGTTCTGGCACCAAAAAGAAGAATAATTTGAATGTAGTGGAGTGAAAAGCCCTCAGGACAGTGAGACCAGGTGTGTGTTCTGGAGCCAGGTAGGGAGGTGGAAGAGAGTGCTGAATGCTAACTAGTGGTTCGGTCTATCAGGCTATAAATTTAAGGAAGTGACAGCCTGTTAATAGATTACTATGTATGTGAAGCACAGCCTTACTATCACTTATTCGAGTTCCACCAATTCATTTCTTGCATATGGACTAGCCTCTGGAACCCAGCAAAGATCAATTTAACCATGCACAGCAGTGACTGTGTACCACACAAATATAACTCATTAACTCCATGTCAAGCGTCTCTGCAAACTAACTTCCCCATACCCAAATTTTCAAGAAAGCCTGCAGTGACCCTAAAGCCACCTGACAAAGGGCAAAATTGGCAGAAGAAAAGTCACAATGGAAAGAAAATGTGGTCTTTACCTACTGGGGTAAGAATAGCTTTGCAGATTTTACAAAATTTATGACCATGTGAATTACTGCATGGGTTGTTTCCACATCTGGCCCCTGCAAATGAAGCATCCTGCTTGATGCAGGAGGCCTCACTGGCTTGAACTGAATATGCTTCTGCCCTTCCCTTTTCTGTACTTTGGCCCTGGTCCTACACTCTGAAGGCTCTGCTGCACGAGTCTTTCAAACATCTGACTATAGCTGCTTGCTTTCGTTCTTAAATCTTGTCTCCTAGATAAACACCCTCAGCTTGGTCTCACACTCCAGCCTATTTAAAGCATCTCCTCCTGGCTCTACCCATCTAGGCCTCCACTTTGCTATTGCATCTCTGTAACCTTGGGAACCAAACATAATAGTAGGCTTTTGGCACTTATGGCTTGCACGTTTGTTATTTCAACTATTCTTAAGTGCTCAGATCACAAGGTCTGTTAGAATCACATATTTGCAACTGTGTGGGGGTACGGCGTACTCTCATCTACAGCTGATGGAAATGCAAATTGGCACAATCATTGAGGGAAAGTACATTGGGTGACAGCTATTAAAATAAAAAATCTGCATACTCTATGATCTAACATCAGCACTTAACAGGTTCTGCCCTAGAAAAGCAGGCACATGTGCTAAGTGAGTCATGTAGGAGAACATTTGCCAGCGTTGTTTATATCAGAGGAAATCTGGCAATCATACAAATGTTAATTTAGTAGGAAAATGACTTTAAAATGTGGTACATTCACATTATGACATACTGTAAAGACAATCGATAAATATATAGATTGATAGATTTACAGATTGCCAAGACATACTTCTGACTGAAAATCAAACAAAAGTATTAGAATAATTCATAAAGCATAATGTATTTTTGTAAAACAAACAGGCACAGAATACACATTAGCATATCCATAGAAAGATATAGCAGTAATTGATATATCTGTTGAGGGCCAGATTTGGGAGGATTGGTTAAAAGAAACTTTTGTGTAGGTATACATATGCACATATCACTTGAGTAACTACAGTAATCTAAAATAAAATTATATTAGTTACAGAATAGATAATGCAGCACTACTATTTCCCTCCTGTCTCTCTCTCTCTCTCTCTCTCTCTCTCTCTCTCTCTCTCTCTCTCTCTCTCTCTCACACACACACACACACACACACACACACACACACACACACTATGGCACAATAAAGTTGGGATTTGTTAATGGATCTGCTATAAATGATTAAAATTCATTTATAAATATCGATTCATAGTCTATTATCTTTATACTAGAGGCCCAGTGCACAAATATGTGCATGGGTGGTGCCAATTGGACTGGATCGTGCCAGCTGGTAGGGGGGAGATGGGTGATTGGTCTGCTGGCTCTGCTCCCTGATCAAACTCTCTGTTGAACTTCCAGTCAAGGGGACAATTTACATATTAACCTTTTATTATATAGGACTAGAGGCCTGATGCATGAAAGTCATGCAAGAGTAGGCCTTCCTCCCTCTGGCTGCTGACAACGGCTTCCCTCTGGCACCCAGGACCCGGGCTTCCTTCCAGCACCTGGGATCTGGGCTTTCCTTAGACCCCCCAGCAGGCATCTGAGACCTGGGCTTTCCTACAGCCTCCAGCAGGCACCCAGGACCAAGGCTTCCCTGTGGCCACCAGCAGGCACCTGGGACCCTGGCTTCCCTTACAGCCCTGGCTTCATCTGGGAGGACAGAAGGATGTCTGGTCTATTTAGCATATTTACTTTTATTATTATAGATCATAGTATCCCTTACTCCCCTCCCCCCCTCCACACACACACACAAACACACTCAGTCCAAGGAGAGAGTCTGTATGATTGGATAAATGGATATGAACTTAAAAGTCTACATTTAAAATGTATGTACACACACAAAGGACACAAACTTATCCTAGAGTGCCCAAAGTAATGTAGTCATGTCATCAGAGGTAACCAGTTGTCATTAGGATAATATTAACCATCACATGAAATTCTCTGGTGAGGTTTTAGATTTTAGGGGAAAAAGATATCTTTATATCTTTTGACATAGAATAGACTTTTGAATATGTATTTGCAAAAATGAGAGAGGGCTGGGAGATTGGGGGGAGTTCAGGAGCAGTAGATGCTAATACTGGTGGGTGGCCTGAGACTTGCACTCTGTCTTCTCTGCTCTGTGCTTTCTTTCACAGGCTGCAATTGACTGCACCCAACCCCTCTGGACATCATATATGAAATATATTTTCAAAGTATAAAGTGCTTTTCAAATGCCAGATATTGTTACCCTCAATTTGGTGATTAACAAATGCAAGATTGACATATTTTTACTAACCATAAAAAAAAAAAAAAAGAGAGAGAGAAAAGACTGAAAAGTAAGTCCATGTTGGCTTGGTGAATGGTGATTGAGCTCCCTAACATCTGAATCCTGGGATCATGTCCATGGCTTTGACAAGTCAAAGGAATGAAAATAATTGTCCTTTATGTAGACTGTGTGAGATTTTTGTTTCTGTAAAAAGAGTCAGCTGAATGACTACTGCTAGGAAGCATAAACCTAAAAATAGGTGATGCTGGCTTTGATTACCATTTAATTGTAATCGGAACTCTTGTTCAAATGACATGTTCCTCTCAACCATGGAAGTCTGAAGCGGTCAGACAGGAAGAAACATTCATCAGAGGACCCTTTAACTGGAGGTATATTGGACTGGGATGTTAAGATTTACTCTCTTCTCTCTCTCTCCAACAAAATAATAGCTTCTCCATCCTTTCATTTTGCTTTCAAGCCTGAAGATGATTTGTGCCAGGCAGCAAAGATCGGAATCTAATGCTTTAATGTTGTTTTAGCATAGTTTTCATTTTTAATCTGTAGATAATCTGAACAT